TGGCCTTGCCATAGCAGCTGCAGTTCCAGCCATCACATTAGGGGTGAGTTAATTCAGTGTTTGACCAAATATAACAGCTAATTTTTAAGTTGATGATTTTGTATGACCCACAAATGATGTTATAAATTTTGGAAGAAGAAAGATTCCCCCCTGCTAATCAGAGTAGCTATGGGTCGAAACCAACTCAACGGCACTTAACAATGACAAACATTTACTATATTTTAGGGGAGAATGATCTATATTTTAAAAATGAATAATAGAATAAATTAATTTGGCATTACCTTTATATGTACCTCTTTTTTTAAATCACTTCACAACATTTCAACTATCATAAATCTACAGAGTAGTTATAAATGTAACACAGAGAAATTTGTTTGCTTGGCCCATCATCTCTGAATGCTTTAGTATGTATTTCTCACAAACATCTTCCTACATAATCACAGTAAAATCATCAAAATCAAGAAGTAAACATTAATACAGTTGGACCATCTAATAAACTTGAATACTAGACCAAATTCAGTTTTACTGTTTATCCCAATAATGCCTAGTTCAGAATCAAATGTTTTTAGTTGCGATATCTCTTTAGAGTTCTTCCTCTGGAACACTGTCTAATTGTTCTTTGTCTTTAGTGACTTTGACACTTGAATATTACAGGCTACTTATTTGTAGAATGTCCCTCTTGTTTGGGTTTGCCTCATATTTTCTCATGATTAGATTCAAGATCTGCATCTTTGACAGCAATTGTCACAGAAGGATGCTGTTGTCCCATTGCATCCTGGCAGGTAGCATATGATTGTGATCCTATTACTGATGGTGTTGATCTTGATCACTTGATTAATAAGATAGTGTCTCCCAGACTTCTCTATTTTAAAGTGACTTTTTCACTTGTATTTAACAAGTGTTTGGTGGGAGGTACCTTGAAACTATATAAAAATCCCATTTCTCACTAAAATTTCAATTCATGTTTTATATCTGTATGGGCTCGTGTTTATCTGTTTCAATCAATGTATTCTAATCCATTCATATTATTTATTTTGATGCCAAACACATCCTTAATGTAGCTAGTAAAGCGCTCCAGGCTGGCTTCTGTGTCTGTTTGACATGTCCCCATCATTCTTTGAGCACTTTGTTTTCTAGCAAGACGTTATTTCAGATCATCATCTACTTTCCCTGCTTCAGCCCTGAAATTAGCCGTTCATCTCCAGGATGTCCTAGAAAGGTATTGGAAGCCAAGAGCACAAGTTGTGCTTGGTGCTGTTGAGATGTTGATATGTCTAGGCCCTTCAGTGGATATTGTTATTGTTGTTAAATAGCACTAAGTTGGGTCCAACTCATAGCAGCTCTGAGTAGGGTTTCTCAGGAGCAGCTGGTGGGTTTGAACTGCCAACCCTATGGCTAGCAGTCCCGCACTTAGTCTATAGCTCCACACCAGGACAAAACTAGAGAATAGTCATGTATACATACATAAATACATATACACAAACAAACATAAACACCCGTATTTTTATTTATAGATGTATAACTGTGTTTGGTATAGCAGCGGGTCAGGGAAAAGCAGGAAGATGCTCAACCAGATGAATTGACATAGTGGCTGCAGCAGTGGTGTCAGCCATAGCAACGGTTGTGAGGATGGCACAGAATTGGATAGTGCTTATCGTACATAGGGTGCTATGAGTCGGAACTGCTTCAGTGGTACCTGAATTCATTAAAACCATGAATTCATACCAATACCTTCCAGTTTCCATCTTGAACCATAGGATTCATTCTAGTTTTCTTTTAGTCCCTATTTGTTCCTCTCTTGTAGTGAGAACCCTGGCTCCCAATTAATAAAGCCCTCTGTATGTGATCAGTTGCCCTTTGTAGCTATCCCCTTCATTCCTCCCCCACACACACCGATAGATGCCCTTCTTAGGTCACTTGGTGTCTTGGGGTTTTCTAGAGAAGCAGGACTAGTGATAAATACACACACACCTCACCCCAGATTGATTGATTTACTTTAATGAGTTGGCTCATATGTGCAGGCTTGAACCCCCAAATCCGTAGGTCACAGTATCTATTTATAGTCTGTAGGCAAAGCACACCCTAGGGAAACTCTATTTTAGTGTTTGATTGATATTTACACACATTATGATAGGTAATCTACTTTACTTAAGGCCAATAGATTTAATTACATGGAATCCTGATGTTGCGCTATAGGATAAATACTAGAGTGTTTACCTCAAGGTTAGTGGTTCAAACCCATCAGCTGCTCCTTGGAAACCTTATGCAGGATCACTATGAATCAGAACCTACTCAACAGCACTTAACAACAATAATTACTTTATCCAGCAACTAATTAGTGCTTTACCAGATAATTAGGTACTATGGCCTAGTCATGTTGACACACAAAATTAACGATCACACTTGGGCCCTGACAGCCTACACTGGGACATTCCCCCACCCTCCTCATTCTACTCAGAGTTTGACACCTGCGTGGGGCTGTCATCATTCAGGGACCTCATTTCACCTCACTTAGACTGTGACTCTCCAGTCCACCGCCCCCGCTTCTCTCCCTCCCCCCTGAAGACTTCCTCTTCTTTTGGACTTGAAAACTCTTTCCTGAATTGTTCAGGAAGAGGAAGATAAGGGCTATTTATACCTTTTTTAAAAACTGACCTCATAATAATATGACTTCTGTTTTTCCACAATTTGAAGAGCTGATAAAAAATCTTATATTAAAGCATATTTAATTATATTTCAAATTTTTACAAGTTGTTTTGATACTTGTTTATGCCAGTTTTTAATTTTAAATTAGAGGTTGGCCAGATAGTAAATATGTCTTTGAGGACCAATAATAAATATCAAGGTTATTATATAGGTATTTATATAACAACCAGTATAACACCTATAACAATATAACACCTCCCCTGGTGGTGTGCTATAGGTTAGGCATTAGGCTGCTAACCACAAGGTCGGCAGTTCAAACCAGCTGCCTCGGAAACCCTATATAGTGTTGCTTTGAATCAAAATCAACTTGATGGAAGTATGTTTGGGTTTATTTTATTATTTTTTAAATGTATGACAGCTGTTTTAAAATATAAAAACCATTCTTTGCTTGTGCACCATACAAAAACAGATGGCAAATTGGATTGAAACCAAAGCTGAAATGCTTTTCTTTTTAGATAACACTCTTCACTATGTGTTAAAGTGTGAAAACTGCCATACATTCATTCATTCAGCAGATATTTATTAAATCACTGCTATCTGCTAAGTCGAGAAGCCCTGGTAGTGTTGTGGGTTACATGTGGGGCTTCTAACTACAAGTCCACCAGGCTTTCCGAGGGAGAAAGATGAGGCTTTCTATGAAATCCTGTAAAAATGTACAGCCTTGGAAACCCTATACAGGGTCGCCATATCACTCCACCACCACCTGCTAAGTCCAGTGCTAACTGCTGCAGAGTTGTGTTCTGTAAGGAGCTGCTGTTAACACATGTTACGGTTATGACGCTGAGACTCTGCAGAAGTAACTTGTTAAAGCTACACCAATAGGAAGTGAAGGAAAAAAGCTTATTTTTTAACTCATTTGGCTTGATAGTTGGAGCTGTACATTAATTAGAGATTCACTGACATTGGCCACAATATTGAATATTGAGAAGGCACAAGGATCTGGGTTAGTAGTTTGCATTCCTGAGTTACTATAGTTTTGCATGTGAATATATGATGACTAGTCAAAAAATATTGCTATAAAATCATAGCTTTACTAGACAAAAATGTTAAAATGTGAAGATACTGTGTCTCGACATAGCCTTCACTTATACTTCACTTATACTTCTGAAGATGTTGTTTCGATCTATGTAACTCCTCTGCAAAGTACTCTGTGCTGTTCGATTTTCATCACACCAAAGCGACAGTTTGGGCGTACTTACTCTACGGACTTAAATTTTGCTTCTTTTAAATGTTCTTTGAGTTTGTGGAACAAAAAAAAAGTCTGAAGGGGAAAGATAGAGGTTATAGGGTGAATGGGGTAAGGTTTCCCAATAAAATTCTTGTAGGCCAGCCCTTGTTACTCTTGAAGAATAAGTGGATACATTGTCGTCATGAGAAAAAAAAAAGTCCTTAGGGCAATTTTCCTGACCTTTTTCTTATGAAAGCAGTTTCCAGTTTTCTTAAAACTTCATAATTAACATCCATGATCTTCCTGTACCCTTCGAGGAAATCTGTCCAGATTATCCCTTTGGAATCCTCAAAACCTTCTGAGTGGACCTTTCTCCTGAATTTACCTGGTCCAGCAGATCCTTTTGGAAGCCACTGTTTTGACTGGATATATATATATTTTAAGCCACCTTACACAAGACTCCTGGTATAATGCTGTAGGATCAGCACTAGACTGTGAACCATGAGATCAGCAGTTCAAACCTACCAGCTGCTTCTCAGAAACCCTCTACAGAGTTGCTCTGAATTGGAAAAGACTCGATGACACTTACCAACCACAAGACTCAAACAGCTCTATTACTGAGAATTTGTCTGCAGCTATCCACTCATCTCAGAGACATAGTTAACCAGTTTTTGTTTAGAATAAGCCTGTGCATACGGAACTTGAGTAGCAATAATTTTTTATTTACCCTTGTATTTCTTGCTCATGTTTTCACCATGTCTTAAAAGAACAGCGGTCATTTCTATTTATATATTTTCTGTGAGCTGGTATAGTTTTATATGTGCACATTATACATGGTTTTCTGCTAATCACAAGTTTGGCGGTTCAAACCCACCAGCCACTCCTTGCAAACCCTATACAGGGTCACTGTGAGTCAGAACTGATGCATTAGTATTTAACAACAACAGCAATAGTCTTTGTGCTGCTATAGTCTTATATGCATATATATGGTTTATAATTCATCACATAAAGTAGATACAGATTATGATGACTTTGAACAAAGGTTGATTGGTTTTCTCTCTAGGTTTGGTTTGGAGAAGATCTACCTCTAAGTCCACGGAGTCCTCTGACTCCCAGACATGGTCCAGGTTTGGCTGATGTTTGTCAGTATGATGAGTGGATAGCTGTGAGGCATGAAGCCACTCTGCTGCCTATGCAAGAAGACCTGTCAATCTGGTTATCTGGTTTATTAGGTAAGGTTTGAAAAGAGACCCCAAACTGTATTCTTTTATTCACTCATTATTTAGTGAAAACCTTATTTTCTGTCAAGGAGTGAGTGTTCTAGATGCTGAAGATACTCTAGTACATGAAATATTGAAGGTCTTTTGGCTCACCAAGCTTTCATTGCCTGAGAGATATTTGGGTTTACCTAGAACCTTGGGGATTGAATAGTGAGGAAATTTGAGGCTTAAACAAAGAGATCAGTAAAATTTGTATAATTAACATTTTCATGGTTAATAGTAAAATCTTTTCTTTAAAGTTGATAGGTCTTATTTTTAGATCTGTATTATTAGGTCTTATTTTTAGATCAGGTGTGATGGCACCTAACAACAACAACAACAACAATCTTATATAGGGTGTAGGATTTTGAGGGAGATATACAAAGGGGCTTCAAAAAGTTTATGGAAAAATGGCATGATAAGATTATGGAATTTTTCAGCAAACTTTTTGAAGCCCCCTGAGACGATTGCTAAAATGATTCGTATTTCTGAGGTATTGTGGGGTAGAGGTGTATGAAACCTACGAGGAGTCCTCAAGTATTTGTCATTCCTGATAGTTTTTCACTCTCTTGAAGAATATGATGGATGCTCTGAACTGTCTCCCCAGAAAAATTCACTTTTAAATGGAGAATTTCATAAGCATTTCGAGGTTTTCATGAACGGGAATCTTCTAAGCCCAACTGTGACCCTCCCAAGATAAATTAGCAAAAAGCACTTACTCTAGTCATCTGATAGCAGTTTCATGGTTTGGGTAGTTTTTAAAGTTCATTTTGTGGTCATAATATATAAGAGGCATTTTAGAGGTGAAAAAAAGGTATTCATGTTTGTTATATTATTGTGTATAATTTTTAAAAATTGCCACGCCATCCTTCATTTATAGAGAAACCTTCCCTCGGGCAAATAGTCCGAATGCACAGTGAGTCAGACCTCTGTAATGACTACTGAAATGAAAATGTTTATTCCTATGAAAATGAGATGGAATGGATGGCACCTGCCTCTGTTTTTCTGTACTTCCACATCACAGATGTTTTTGTTTCAGTTGTGTTTCATTTGATGCTTGTTTTGTCTCTACTTTCTAATAGTTGTTGTTGTTGTTAAGTGCGTAAGTACTTGTAATTTGGGTAGGTATATATCTAATGTTTCAGCTAAAATTGAATTCTGTTTAACTCCATTTTTACCGTATTGTTTAAATTTACTATTTGTAGAAGAATCATAATGTTGAAGTTTGTTTTTAGGTACTGAAGTTAAGGCAGAAAGATTATTGGAAGAACTGGATAATGGAGTACTCTTATGCCAACTGATTGCTGTTCTTCAAGATATGGTGAAAACGTGCAACTCTGAAGAACCAGGGGTAAGTCAATATTTGAGTTAGGTGAGAGATGGTAAAATAGACTAATGGTTTTGTCAACTTGCATATGTATATTTCTTGTCGTCTCTGTAAGCTTGTAAACATACATCCCACCTAGCTATGAGATATTGGATAATTCACTTTACTTTTCTGAGCATCTAGCAAGTGTTTTGTAAAATGGCGGTGTGAATGTAAATGTTACAATGTCTTTATGGTGCCTAGCATAGTGCCTAGTGCTTAGTAGATGTCTAGTAGCTAGCTTGTCTTGGTAACATAGTGCCTTCCTTATAGGGCTGTTGTGAGAGTAAATGAGGTGAGAGCATGCGCTAGTTCCTGACACAGATTTAGCATGATTAGCACAATTGTTATTATTGTTAAGTGCTGTCGAGGCCATTCTGACTCATGGAGACCCTGTATAAGGTTTTGGAGGAGCTGATGGTGGGTTTGAACTGCCAGCCTTGCAGTTAGCAGTCCTGTGCTTATCCTACATGCTATTCCAGGACTCTGTCATTATTATTTTCTTTATATTTTCTTTAATTCTGTAAATATTAATTAAGTAAATAATATTTTTCTTAGCTAGGTTTCTTCATTGACCCTGTAGCCATGATTTGAAGTAGATATGGTTTCCTGTCTTCTCATCAAATATAGGTGTTTTTTAGGTGTGGAGTCTGAGTACTTGTGCACTATTAGTAGAATTTTAAAATAGTACAATATTTTTTTGGAGTCATGGTGTGGTGCTGCGGGTTAAGGCATTGGACTGCAAAGTTGATTTGCACCACAAGGTTAGTGGTTCAAGTTCACCAGCCACTTCTTGGAAACCGTATGCACTGTCACTATGGGTTGGAACCTACTTGACGGCACTGAACAACAACAACAACAATCATCGTTTTGGGGGGCAGTGGATGATATGTCTCAGTTACATTGCTAAAGTTTGCATGTGCATATACACACATTAGATAGCAAAATAACATGTTTTGAAACATGTTGTAGATAAAGATAAGTGTATAGATACGCATCTGTGTAGTGGTTACAAATCGGGCTGTGAACCTTAAGGTCAGCAGTTCGAAACTGCCAGCTATTCTGTGGGAGAAAGATGAGACTTCCTGTTCCTGTAAAGATTTACAGCCTCGGAAACCCTGTACAGGGTCGCTATGGGTTGGAACCGATGACTCCACAGCACAGAACCAACCAACCATAGATACACATAACAAAAGGTGGATGGGAAGATTTCAGATGATGCTAACCATCTTTGTATTAGACTAGACTGTTTTCTTTTGTTTTTCATTGATCATATATATGCTGTCACGGGAGGATGAAAAAACAACCCACCAGGCAGTTTTAATTTTGGGAAATATTAGCAATAGGGAGAACATACAAGGAACCTGGGATCAGTAGGCTTCTCTAAGGAGAAGAATGGAGGGTACAAACAGGAGATACTTATATTACCCTATTATACCTCATTGTAACGAGCAAAAGCCCTACCACTGGACAGTAAACAACAGCCATATAAATGGAGAAAAGATTGAAGCTGTCAAAGACTTCATTTTGCCTAGATCAACCATCAACACTCATTGAAGCAGCAGTCAGGAAATCAAATGACATATTGCATTAGGCAAATCTGCTGCATAAGACCTCTTTTAAAGTGTTAAAGAGATATTAGTTGGAGGACTAAGGTGCGCCTGACCCAAGCCATGGTATTTTCAGTAACCTCATAAGCATGTGAAAGCTGGATGGTGAATAAAGAAGACCGTAGAAAAGTTGATGCATTTGTGGTATGGTTTTGGAGGAGATTGTAGAAAGTACCATGGAATGCCAAAAGAACAAACAGATCTGTGTTGGAAGAAGTACAGCCAGAATGTCTCTCTTACTTCTGACATATTACCAGAACGGAGGGACCAGTCCCTGGAGAAGGATATCATGTTTGGTAAAGTGGAGGGTCAGAGAAAGAGGAAGACCCCCAGCAAGATGGATTGACCAAGTGGCAGCAGCCATGGGCTCAAACAGCAACGATTGTGAGGTTGGCGTGGGACCAGGCACTGTTTCCTTTTGTTGTACGTAGGGTCGCTATGAGTCACTACCAACTTAATGGCACCTAACAACAACAGTTATGTCTTTTTGCATTTAAAAAAAAAATCATGGACAAATTATTAATTTAAATAAAAAATTAAAATAATAATAAACCCTCAGCCTCAGGAGGATAAACTAAATACTCTTGGGCCAGATAATGAAAAAATTTAAATCAAGATTCTGTAAAATTTATACCATCTATTTTCCTTTGAAAATTTGGTATTTGGTATTTCCTCAAGAAGCTCAGAACTTATTTGGTATTTCCTCAAGAAGCTTATTTGGTATTTCCTCAAGAAGCTCAGAACCATGAATCTTGAGATTTCTGAATCTGTGTTTAAGTAAATAGAGTCCTGGTGTGACACTGTGGGCTAATGCGCTGTACTGCAAGGTCTTTTTGAACCACAAGGTCAGTAGTTCAAGTTCACAGCAGCTCCTCAGAAACCATATACAGGGTCCCTATGAGTCAGAACTGACTGAGCAGCACTTCACAACAACAACATATAAGGAAGTATGGGAAAATTAGTGTGTCTGTTAACCTTTAGCGTAGCGATCATTTTGTGTCTGTAGTGAACTATGTGTGGAGGGATGTACCATAGAGATGTTCTTTGGGATTACTAAAATGTCGTTAGTTTTGTTTATAATTAAGATTCATGTGTCATTTAAAAAAGAACAAGATTATTGGTTTTCCTTGCATTATATTATAAAATAGACACTGGATGGGGAGAGAAAGGAATAGTTAGAAACAACACCATAGGAAGCTTGTAAGTCTGTCTTCTGCCTATAACTGATTGGAATACCTAAAATGGGGCTACAACGTGCCCAGTGAAGGAGGCTTCCTGCAGAGACTCTGCAGTACATAAGACTATAGGTGGAAGCCTGAACCACATCCAGATCTCCAGAGATGGGAAATTTCCACTTGAAAGGATGAGCAGACCAGCCTGGAGCGGCTAGAAGAATAGAAGATACTTCTTGAAAGAAATACCTACAGGAAAAATACAAAATAACAGAGGCAGACCGACTGTTCCTACAGGAACAGGCAAGTTACTTGCCCAGGAAACATCAAGGCAAGTGGTCGGATCCCCTCAGTGCAAACCCCCTTCCAAGACTAAGACTCTATGGGAATACATGCTCTGATTGGTGACCACGCTCGTCACCGATAAGGGGAAGTGGGGGGAAAACAGCAATGAAGTGGCGAGCTAAGCCCTACAACATTCAATAGACTCCTGTAAACCCTTGTGAAGACCTGGTTGGCCAGCAGTGTGGCAAAACCTGGGGACTCTTGCGCCCAGAGTCAATGACATAGCCACAGAGGACTAGAGTGGAGAGTGAAGTGTCCAGTGGATAAGAAGAGAGGGTATATGCACAAGAACACCCAAACTTGCATATAATACCCACTTGACTTGGCTTCAATGACTAGATGATCAGAGCTTAACCAGAAGAAGAAAGAAGAGGGAAAAAAGAGTAATCGGATACAATTTGATGAACTTGACCTACACCTATGGATGCAGTAGCTCAAAAGAGGGAACAAATTCTTACAGCAAGGATCATTCCCACCCCCTCCATACACAGTAGACAGGGATGGGCAACTTGGACAATGGCTACCCAAAATGGGGGGCTACAAAGGCAAGAAGTGACTGGTTTACAAGTTTTCAAGAGGGAACCTAGAGTCAGAGGGCTTGGAGGAAGGTAGAATCTCCAACTGAGTAGTATACAATCTGTATTGGCGTGGCTGATGAAATGAAATGCGGATGGGTCTCTTGTGATACAGTAGTGAATAATTGTTATCAGGACTGATTGTGAGGGTTGGAAATGTAAAGGTAGACGTTTTGTAGCAAGGAGGGGAGTGATTAACTTTTCAGTCTAGGAGCGGAGGTCCCTGGGACCATCAAGTGAGAAGAGCCAAGAGCAGAACCCTACCTAGAGAAGCAGTGATGCCTGAGATGGAGGCAGAGACGATTATGTGGAGAGATGCAGCTGTTGGGGACTTTAGACACAAAGAGGGAGAGGGGCTATGTGCTGATGACTGGGGGACAGTCTTGTAGTGTATACCCTTTGGTTGGTTGATGATGCATGGAGAAGATTGCAACCATGGCAATGAAACAATATACAATAGGATGAATGTAAAACTAATGTTCTCCCATGTAAACTATCACATAATTCACACACACAAAAAAGAACAAGATTAGCAACTTGATCATCCTACTGCTCATTTTCACCAGATTGTTTTCTTAGGAATTATTTTCTGGAATATGGTTGGTGGAAAATACAATAACTTTTGAAGAGGCCCTTTTTTCCTAATATATTCTTTTTAGTTGCACTCAATGCATTGAACTTTTATTTGTAGTATTAAAATATTTTTTCTTGTTAAATGTAGAGTTGGGTCTGATGCATAGTAAGCCTGTATTATAGGATTCCTGAGGAGCAAATGGTGGGTTTGAACCACTTACCTTTCAGTTAGCAGTTCAGTGCTTATCCTAGAACATTTTTTTGTGTGTGTCTTTTCCAGAATTTTTCAATGAGAAAAGTACCCTGTAAGAAAGATGCTCCATCAGGTTCATTCTTTGCAAGAGACAATACAGCAAACTTCCTTCACTGGTGCAGACACATTGGGGTGGATGAGACTTATCTCTTTGAATCTGAAGGTTTAGGTAAGTGTTGATGTTGTTTTTGTCATGTCTGTTTATTAGGGTATTTGTGTTTCCTGCACTTCAAATTTTCCTTTCCAAATAAAGAGGTCAAATACCATAGCTCAGTTTTCTAGATAGATTTATACTTTAAATGTATATAAAATAATTGGAAAATCAGATTCTGAATCACATATACTAAGCGTTTTTAAGATTGCCTTTAAGTATTTTACTTCCTAAATAAATTCGTTTCTAGAAGGTTCTGGGTCAGTGCTTTGCTAATTAATGTTTTCATCTAGAATTACTCTACTGAGTCTAAATTATTAGCAATTTCTCTTTAAGTAATTACAGAAATAATAGAAGGCCAAGTTACATGTGTTCATAGCTTCTAAATTTACCTGATGCCAACTTGATGACCTAAATGGATGACCATGGTGTGGGCAATTAGTTGTGAAAAGTCAGGCTTTCCCTAAAGAATATTGACTTATTTCTCATTTCCTGCAAAGTATGTGTTAATGACTATAGTGGTTGTTCTAGAACTAAGTTTCAGACTATAGATGACTTTTTTTTAAAGAATATATTTGTGTGTGTGTGTGTGTGTGTGTGTGTTTTTCTTCTTTGAAACTTTGCAATGCTGTAAGAACAGTAACAGTCTAAGGACAAGTTGGACAGTGATAAGGAGGGAGCATTTATCACTATTAGTCTTTAGAATTGCTGCTTCATAGTGATAGTAAAAACAAACTGTCTTTTAGTTCCTGATATTGTGGTTTTGACCTTCTTTCTTGACTGCACACCCCTTATGGCCCACACAGCCAGGCCACTCCCACTGCCACCCTTTTGTTGATGAGTCCAGCCAGTAAATGTCATGGATTGCTGTTCTCTCTCTTTCTCACATACACACATCATGTTTTAATCCAGGTGTACTGATCATTCTTGACACAGTAATAGTTCTGATGGCACAGACACCTTCTAGAGATCAAAAGGAAGAAGAAATGCCCTGAATTCTGTACTTTCCAGTTTTTAGTGCTTCTGCAAGGGTGTCGTCGTTAAGTGCTGTCGAGTCAGTTCAGACTCCTAGCAACTCTGCATAGGGTTTTTGAGGAGCGGTGAGCTTAAACCCTGACATTGCAGTTCAAACCAACCTTGCCGTCCAGCGCATTAGCCCACAGCGCCACACACACACATTAGCCCACAGCACACACACAAATATCTGCAAGGACGTTTGTTGTATATTTCTCCTTCTTAGTAGAAGGCATCTTCTTACTGCCCTGAAAGTCATTATACGACTAAATAAAGCATTGTCAATGATAGGACTTCATTTCTAGGAATGAACTGATTACATTTTCTAAAGGTCTCAGAAGTAAGCTGCTCAATTTTTTTACATTTTGCTTGAAACTTTAAAGGACCTTAAATATATTTATAAAAACTAATTTAATGAAAGTTTCAGGATTAATGCCTTTATTGGTATGGCTTTTAATCTCAGATATCTTATTAGTATTAGTGCCATCAGTCAGGTCTGACTCGTGTCTACCCTATGTACAACGCGTTTAAGGAACATTCCTTAGAATAAGAATAATCAACTGTAAAAAACTGAAATTTTTCAATTTCAGTTTTTTCCCTACTTTCACATATATATGAGGTGATTAAAAATATCTTGGCTTGGGTCAAGTACATCTTAGTCCTCAAAGTGGCATCTTTGCTTTTTAACACTTTAAAAAAGGTCTTTTGCAGCAGATTTGCCCAATGTAATACATTTATTTCTCGACTGCTGGCTTTTATGGGCATTGATTATGAAGCCAGTTAAAGTGTAATCTTTGACAGCTCTAGTCTTTTCACCATATTTCATAATGTTACTCATTGGTATTGGTCCAGTTATGAGGATTTTTGTTTTCATTATATCGATGTGTAATCCATAGTGAAAGCTGTAGTCTTTGATCTTCACCAGCAAGTGCTTCAAGTCCTCTTTGCTTTCAACAAGCAAAGTTAAGTCATCTGCATATATCCTGTTGCTGATGACTATTCCTTCAATCCTGATGCTGTATTTTTCATATAGTCCAACTTCTTGGATTACTTGCTCAGCATACAGATTGAACAGGTATGATAGAGGGGCACAACCTTGATACACACCTTTCCTGATTTTAAACCATTCAATATCCTCTTGTTCTGTTCAAATTACTGCTGCTTGGTTCTATATGAATACAGTAAAGTGTCTTGAAATTCCTATTCTTCATTGTTATCCATAATATGTTATGATCCACACAGTCTAATGTCTTTGAATAGTAAATAAAGCACAAACATCTTTCTGGTATTCTTTGCATTCGGCCAAGATCCACCTAACATTAGCAGTGATATTTTCTGTTACCTTCTGAATCCTGCTTGAATTTCTGACAGTTCCCTATCAATGCACTGTTGTAACCGGTTTTTAATTATCTTCAGCAAAATCTTACTTTTATGTGATATTGATATTGTTTGATAATTTCATAGATGTTCTTTAATAGACTGAGACAATTCTAGTCTTAGTTTGTTGAGTGCTTTTATCATAATACAGTGTGAAATTTTGTCTAGTAGTTTTATCAGTTGAGATAATTACATGGCGTTTTGTGTGTTCGTGTCATTGTTAATGTTGTTATTACTAGGTGCCATTGAGACCATTCAGACTCATCACAGACCTCTGAACACAGAACAGAACACTGCCTGGCTGTGTGCTAGTCTCACAATTGTCATGTTGGAGCTCATTGTTGTGGCCCCTCTGTCAACCCATCTTAGGGGCTCGTCTTCTTTTTTGCTGACCCTCTGTTTGCCAAGCTGGCTACCCATTTTCAGGGATTGGTCCTTCATATTGATCCAGTTTCTTAGATTATTGGCTCAACATACAGATTGAATACGTATGGTAAAGGATACAATCTTGACTTTTGTTCCTATGGTTGTATTATATCAGCTTTTACATGTTGACTCTTGCATTTATGGGTAAACTATTCCTTTGTTGGAGTCCTGGTATGGTGCTGTGGGTTAACGCGCCAGACTGCAAAGACGTTTAAACTGCAAGGTCGGCAGTTCAAGCTCACCAGCCGCTCCTTGGAAACCCTATACAGGGTTGTGATGGGTTGGAACTGACTCGATGGCACTTCACAACAGCAACAATTCCTTTGTCATGTCGTATAAACCTTTTTTTTATGCTGTTGGATTTTGTTCCTTGATGTTTGTTGATGATTTTTGAATCTATTCAGAAGAGATATTGGTCTGTTGTTTTCCTTTCTAGATATGTTTGCTTGGTTTGTGTATAAGGACTTCATAGAATCAGTTTAGAAGCATTCCTTCCTTTCCTGTGTTTCCTAAAAATTTAATAAGGATATTACTGAATAGTTCTATGCTAAGAATAATTTAGAACAAAACTGAAGTGTGTTATATCTCTTCTAATAGAGGCTTTCTGGTCCCGTAAAGATTTATAGCCTCAGAAACTCTATACAGGGTTGTTATGAATTGGAATCAACTCAATAGTAATGGATTTTTATTTTGGGCTTTATTGATATAAAGTATAAACCATTTGTTATTAAGCCCTAATTTTTTTCAGAATTAAAATGCTATACTAATGAGGGTCCATGATAAAGTTTTATTCTCTACTTTTTAGCCTATTTTTTAAAAGTATAGTTTATAGCATCATAATATACAAAGGGCAAAGTTTGTGGAAAAATGTAATTCAAAGATAAATTATTTTTCTACAAACTTTTTGAAGCCCTTCACATAGAGAAAATTTAAATGTCTTTTCTAAGCCTTCTCTAAACAGTAAGCTTACTATCTTTGTTAATTGTTTTACTCTCTTCTATGTCAGAAATATATTTTTGGAATTCATTTTTGCTCTTTAAAATATGTGGTCTTATTTTCCACAGTTTTGCACAAAGATCCAAGACAAGTGTATCTTTGTCTCCTTGAGATTGGTCGAATTGTGTCAAGGTATGTGTCTTACAGCAGCTCAGAATTTAAATACTATAAACAGTTTTTAAACTGTTTTATTTAACTTATAGAAATACTTTCTATGAATAAGAATAATTCTTCATTGAAATATTAAGTAAGCTGATTTTTTTTGTTGTTTCTTTAATAACTTGGTTCTGTTTTCATGAGCTGTCAGGTGTCAGCCTGTGCTTTCTCATACAGCTTGCCTCAGTAATAATCAACAGTAAAAAACTGAAAATTTTCAATTTCTGAAGTTCAGAATAGGATAGGAACATGCAGTCTTGTATCTCTTCAGGCAAGGAACTGGCAAGCTCTAAGCACACAAAAAGAATTTGATATGGCTGAGGCTTGCTGTCTCCCGTGCCTGCCTTGAGCCCATCTTTCCTCACAAGGTGCCTATGTAGGAGCCTTTCAGGATCCCACCTTGAATACTGGAAGCATCCAGTAGTCAATAAATACTCTGATGTGAAGACACTGTAACCAGGTTTGGCAATTAAGAAAAAATGCGTGTGTCCCAATGAGGCACTTGCTAGAAGAGAATCATATAGACTTTGTTTTAAAAAGAAAATATAATCTATCATGATATACAGGAAAGTGCTTTGAATAAATAATTAAATTTTGATTAAATGATCAAATCTCCTGGTTGTTTTTTAGATATGGGGTTGAACCACCAGTATTAGTGAAACTTGAGAAAGAAATTGAGCTGGAAGAGACCTTGCTTAATACTTCTGGGCCTGAAGAGTCCATCAGCATTCCCAAATCCTGCTGTCAGCATGAAGAGCTCCATGAAGCTGTAATTGCCAGACTTTTATTTTGACTACAATACCTCATAGCTTCATGTTTGTGTCCACATTTACTGATGATGCTACGTCTAAATGAAAGTGTGTCTTACTCAGAATATACTCCTGGAGAATTCAGGGTATAGGTTAAAGTTGATTTGGTGTTGCTTGTGTATGATGGAGAATGGGCATGTAGTTGGGGATGTGGAACAAACAGGCTGGAAACAGATCATAAAGAGTACATGTGAATTATAAGCTGATTTATATATGGTTTGTTCTCATATCCGGGTAGAGGTTATATTGGTTTTATTGTAATAGTCAGGCATAAGAGGATGAAAACCTGAATTGGAACAGCAATAGTAGGGATAGAGAAAAAGGAATAAATATAACACACATATTTAAGAGGTGAAATTGTCAGCCGTTAGTGACAGATTGAGGGTGAGGGAAAAAGGAAATCCAGGGTGATTTCCAAGGCTTTAGATGATTCTCTGAAATTTGGAGACTGCAGGAGGAGGAATAGCTATGAGGACAAATTGATGGTTTTCGTTTTGAACTTTCCCCATGAAAATATATACAAACTAGTTATGTGCCAGATCACAACTAGAACGTCTTCTTCACTTTCTCTGTTGACCATTGTATAGCAGTGAGCAGGACTGCCATTGCTTTGGTGTGTCTCTTCTTACTGCTGTGTAAGTCCTGGAAGTGAACTGACTATTGAACGTTTTATGTGTAGATGTTTGCTTGTAATCATTGATGATCTCTTTTGGATTGTATTATAGTTGACCCTTGAACAATGTGGGGGTCAGAGGCACCGACCCCTGACACAGTGAAAAACCCAAGTATAATATTTGATTCCCCAAAAATGTAAATACTAATAGCCTGCTGGTGACTGGAAGCCTCACCACTAGCCTAGCTGATTAGCACATACTTTGTGTGTGTTATATACTGCACCCACAGCAAAGCTGCGTTCACAATATGTGATAAAAAGTATTTCACAAAAAGTTTTCACTCCTGCTGGTGTAGCTGCAGTGATGGCTTCACGGATTTTTGTTTCTTTTTCTTACATTGGTCCTTATGCTGGATTCATTTGAATTGGTAGGCAACTGCAGCTGCAGACCTCTTCGATCCACAGTACAGATCCCCTTTTTCTTGTAATGTTGTGACTTTTCTCTGCATCTTGGGAGCACTTCCAGCATCCCCAGTGGCTCTTTGCGTGGTGACCCTGCATATGGTTTCTGAGGAGTGGCTGGTGGGTTTGAACTGCTGACCTTGTGGTTCTCAGTCCACTGCTAATCCTATAGTGCCACACCAGGAATCCATTGAGTAAGAGTCAACATTTTTAAAAAATACGCTCCTTGAATTTTTTTTAGAATTTTACCCAATCCTGGATGAATAGATAAAAATGTATCAGTGTCTGTTTTTAACAATAGCTTTGGAAGAAATCTAGATTTTTCTCTATAATAAAATTTAAACCCACTGCCTTCACATTGATTCCAACTCATAGCGATCCTGTTGGACTGAGTAGAACTGCCCCATACTTTCTCCAGGGTTGTATTCTTTCCATAAGCAGACTGCCATACCTGTCTCCCACAGAGTGCCTGGTAGGTTTGAACCACTTACCTGTTGGTTAGCAGTCCAGTGCTTAACCACTGTGCCACCAGGACTCCTTAATAAAAGTTTAGCACATTGTTACAGGACAAATGAGAATGGCTACTTAAGCTTTAGCTGACTGACCTTAATTGAACACAGATGTATTAATTCAGAAAGGCGTCCTGGTGACGCTGTGGGTTAGGCATTGAGCTGCTAACCACAAGGTCAGCACTGCAGACCCACAGCCATTCCATGGGAGAAGAATAAGGCTGTTTGATCTCATACAGATTCACAGCCTCAGAAACCCTCAAATACAGTTCAGCTCTGTCGTAGAGGGTCACTGTGAGTCAGAATCATCTTCATGGCAGTAGGTTTGGGTATATTAATTCAGGGCATTAAATGATTCCGTTTAATGTTGACATTTCATGTTTCCTAATCCTCCATAAAGGTGCTTTGAATTGACTTTGCTGTGTATGTCTTGCACTCTTTCAGACCTTTTCCCCGTCTTTGAGTGCACTAAGAGCCATTTTGTACGTGGCGAGGCTTACGCTTTCTGTGCTGCTGGCTTTTGTGTTAGGTTGATTTCAAGTGTAGTCTCAGTATTTGTCAAAAAGTAAAGGACACAAGATTAAATCATTGAACTGTCTTTCAATTTTATCTGAGTTTTCTTTTCCAAGTTATCAAACAAACCTTGCATTTTAACTTTAAACCAAATAAATAATTGGAATCTACTAAATGAGTTTGAAAATAAACAACAACATAATTTGTTATTTATTTTTATTCTCAGGTTAAACATATTGCTGAAGATCCTCCGTGTAGTTGTTCTCATCGATTTTCTATTGAGTATTTATCTGAAGGACGGTACCGACTAGGGGATAAGATTCTCTTTATAAGAGTAAGTCCACCACCTATTTAAATACAAATTTTATTTTGAAATTGGATTTATTGCTTTACAAACTGCCTTCTGCTTCCCTATTACTTTTTAAAATGTTGCAGTAGAGGGTGTTATTAAGGGAAGAATTTCACTGTACAGGGAAAATAGGAAGTTTATATATATATATATATAAACTTTAGCATTGCTATGAGTATTTAGACATTGAATATAGTTAGGGGAAAATCTTTGTTTACCTCTGGTAACTTAATCCATTTTTCAGATTTTCTATAGAGCAATAATTTTTCATCATAAAAAGGAGAAAAACAAAGCATTGCATCTGATAAGATTAAATGTCAGTAGTACGAAAAGGAAATAGAAACATGGTCCTTTGTAATACATGCTTTTGGGCCTGAAGTATAAATCTTCTCTCTCATTGACAGCATCAGTCTGTGTGCCAGGATGCTGATAACACATGTTCATTTCCTTCTGTTGTCTCATCTGCAGTTGATTAATTACCCCTTTGCTGGTACGATTTTCAAGTTTCACCTGTTCAGCACTTTGCCCTCTACTGATACAAGAATTGGTTTATTTCCAAATTATGAAAATAAAAATATTTTAAAATACAATTTCACCTTCCATGGGTTCTTCTATGACATGACCCCCAATTCCCATTGAGCCCACACAGAAGCATACTTACATGCACTTTCTATCTGTCATTTCACTTTCTTTTTTTAAAGTCCTGTGGTATAGTGATAGTAGACAGAACAGGAGTCTTGGAGTTAAAATTTGCAGGAGAGTTTCATACAATTGTGCAGGTTTGCCTGCTGACTGGACAAGATCCTGAAATCCAGCTGGGCTGCACTAGCGGAGCCAGAACATTTCTTGTCCTCACGTAACTGCGATTTAGGTAGGGGCCGTCAGTACATTGGCACCCAGGGCAAGCTGTGTACCTTGGAGCAAATCTCTTTATTTCTCAGAGCCTGTGTTTTCTTATCTACATAGATGAACTAGTAATAAATCCAAGGTTTTTAAGGTCCTACAATAGTTTAGCCTAACTAGTAAAAAAGCATGTTTGTCTTGAGCATGGTGCGCTTTTAAGATCAATCTATATAGGAATCAAATTAACAATAGTAAGAAAAGATTAGGTAAGAATTTTACGGAGCAGTAAGTTTCTGCTCCTGTAAAGATTTACTGCCTCATTGTGAGTCAGAACTGACTCCACAGCACATAACCACCACCAGCACCAAGTTTACGTTAATGAGTCAGAACTGACTCCACAGCCCATAACCACCACCAGCACCAAGTTTACGTTAATGAGTCAGAACCAGGTCCACAGCCCAAGTTTACATGAATGGGAGAGGAATGTTCAGGAAAGGCAGGTGAGAATGGTTGCACAACTCACAGTGATTACTGTCACTGAACTGAGCAGGTGGAAATTGTTGAATTGGTGCACGTTCTGCTGTGTGCAGTCTCAACCACAAAAATAAAATAAAAATTTTTAAATTGAGGTATTCAATTGCGAAGTATTATTTGCATTGTTAACTTTCTTCCATAATTATTGTTTTCTTTCTTTATTATGAGGCATTTTCCTCCTAAGTCCTCACTCGTGTCTCCTTCTCTCCTTCCTTTAATTTTCAATTCTTCCCTTACAATTTTGCATATGAATAACTTGGATTTTTAGGATGGAGGTATACAGAAATACCTTCCTTACAAATTGGAGGACTCTGTATTGTTAGTTATTAGGTTTATAATTCAATTTGAGTAAAATTCATTAAATGAATACGAGAAGGAGACTGTCAATTTATAGTGAAGTTGTTAGGAAATTCACAGATTGTAGATATCACAAATTGTGAATGCTAATGAGTTTTTACTGTAATGCAGTTTTACAGCTTTACTTTTTCTTTCTTTGGCATGCAGATGCTTCATGGAAAGCATGTCATGGTCCGTGTTGGTGGAGGCTGGGATACTCTTCAAGGATTTTTGCTTAAATATGACCCCTGCCGAATATTACAGTTTGCAACACTAGAACAAAAAATTCTAGCCTTTCAGAAAGGTGTTTCTAATGAAAGTGTACCTGATTCACCTGCCAGAACACCTCAGCCTCCGGAAATGAATCCTTTGTCAGCAGTTAACATGTTTCAGAAACAAAATTCCAAACCTGGCACACCAGTTGGCATTGCCAGGAGCAAGGAGAAGCAGTTGCATTCAGCAGAGATGTTGCCAGCAGCAGCATTTTCACAGAAAGGAGGTCATCCAGCTTCTGTGATAGTCCGTCCAAAATTACAAAATTCTCCAGCAGTGTCTTCCCGTCTCAAACCTTCAAAAGGCGTGACAAAGACACCGAAACTGCCTTCAAAGAGTGTGCCACCTTCACTGGCTTCTCTAAATGCAATAGGTCCAAGCACTTCTTCACCAGCTGTAGCAAGGACTGTACCTTGTGTATCTGAGTCATTAAGAAAATGTATCTCATCACCCAGTATTCCGAAAGCCAGGTTTACTCCAACCCAGAAGTCAAGAGATGTGCCTGATTCTAAGTGTTCTGGAAAAACTGAACCACAGCATCTGAAACACAATCATATTTCTTCCAGGGAAAATGTAGTATCTCACTCTGCTACACATTTAAAACCATCATCAAAGTGCCCAAAGCCACCCAAAGCAAATATGCATGTAAGGCGTAAACCTTCTCCTTCCCAGGCCCCTGCACAAATGGCAAAATCCAGTTCCAAAAGTACAGTTACAGGTGTAGGAACACAGTCTCAGCCCCCAGGTAGAGCCCCACAAGCAGGGAAGCTGAAGTCAGCCTTGCATTTCAGTCAGCCGGGTTCTGGGTCCTCCCTTTCCCCTGCCAGAGCTTCACAGGAATCAAAAGATAAGAAATTGCTTTCAGTTGCCCAAAGACAGCCTCAGAATAAAATGACGCGCCAGCAGGCAGGCCCCGGCTCCTCGCGGTCCCCTGCTCGTACTCCGCTGGCCATCGTGAGTCTTCCCCAATCATCTGCCAAAACACAAGCTGTACCAAAGTCAGCACAGACTGCCACCAGGGGCCAGTGCTTAGCTAATGGGCCTCCCAAAAGTGGCAAAGACCCCACTTCAATCAGGAAACCACCCTCATCTGGTAAGGAAGCAGTTAACGGAGAAAAAAAAGCTGCTGCTGAGAAAAAGGAAGATGGTGACCATTATTTTGTTATGACGGGAAGCAAGAAACCTAGAAAATAAATGCGTGTATCATTTTAAGGAACTGGAGGGATGGAAGGGGAGAGACTGTCAGTGTCACATCTCCAGTGTGTCTCTTACCTGTGTCTGTCCAAATAAGTGGGGACAGCAAGAGGGACCGTGAGGGTATAGAGGCTGGGGATGGGGCACAGGGTCGGGGAATGGGGTGGTAAGGGTGCACATCAGAATTCACTTATCTGAATTCTCCAGAAGGTTCCCTCTTCAGGCAAACAATTGTATAATCACCGCAGGGTTCATGTTAGCAGTAGACATTTGTATGGTTTTCAATCCAAAGCATTGTTGTTAATGTCTCCATTGAGAATAATGTAAAAGTCAAGTAACACTACTAGAAGTACAGCTGTATTTGTTTATTTATAAATAGGCATTAAATATGGGGGTTATATACCTAACTAATAGCAACAGTGCTGTAAATACTGTATTTTAGGGAAATAACGGTTTGGCATTTATCTTACAGAAGGCACCTAATTTAATATTTCCTGATCAGGATTGTCTGATCAAACAAATACTAACTACCAATGGCTGCTGCTGATAACTTGGCATTGTACTAGCTTAAGTAGAATTCATATTATTTAAATAATTTTTAAGCTTTCCAAACTAGAAGGAACTGATTTTTAAAATAGCATATATTAACATTATAATATTGTGTTACCTATGTTTCTAGTCAAAAAAATTAAACTAATTGAAACAAACTGAAATTTGATAAGGAAAAAAACAGATTTTTCATATGTATAAAAACAGGCATTTTATATTTGAAGTGGATGTTGTGCAGTGTGTAAGGGAAACATAGTAGCTTTTAACAGTACGTTTACTTTTTAATATAATTCCCTTTGAGTACAAATGTAAGTTTTTACATAAAATAATGTACTTTAACATCAAAATTAAGCTAAACAATCCTAATATTTAGGTGATACTCATCACTGATTTGCTTTGTAATGGATTGTTACTATTTAAAATGTATCGATGTGCTTTCAGAAGTTTGAAGGGTGTTTTTAGTAACTTCATAGTATTGTCAGTCATCACAGCATTGTGGTTCCCTATCTGCTTTAAGCCAAAATGTTTGTTTTATGAAGAAAAAAATAGTTTACACAAATGCACAGTGACTGATTAAATGTTTTTAAACCCACCAGCTGCTCCTCAGAAACCCTATACAGGGTCGCTGTCAGTCAGAACCAACTCAACGGCACTTCATGACAACAATGTTCTATAGTATATGAAGCAAGATATTTTTATTTACAAATAAGTGATATTTTGCTCAATGAACACAACTAAAATTGAAGGTATGTGCAGGCTGTTTTAAAAATAGTGTTTCTTTTTAAAAAGAGATTTCTTGTTGTTTATTAAATGCCAACGAGTCCGTTCCGACATACAGAGACAAGTTTCTGAGAAGCAGCTGGTGGTTTTGAACTGCTGACCTTATGGTTTGCAGTACAGGGCCGATCCTACAGTGCCACACCAGGAGTCCAGCAACTATTTGGTTTAGCTCCACAGTTCTGGACACTGAGAAAGATACATATATATCTTTGGAAAGTGAAGTCACACAGAAACATTTTTAAGTGATCAGAAATAGTTAATGTGTCTTTCCAAGAGGAACAGTTTATTTATCTTCAAGAAGCTTATTCCCTTGTAAAGCCAAACTATACATCTGTATCTGTCACTTCTGGAACCTAAAAGAAAATTGGTATTGCAGCCAGCTTATAAATCCAATTTAATTTTATCAGATCTAAACAGTAACTTGTTTTGAAAGTTGTTGGCAATAAAAATATCCCATAGTCATCTGTCATAAAGTCTGGAATTAGCCAAAGGATTCTAATATTGAAAAATTGGAAGTCCATTTATAAATAGCCTATTCTTCCACAGTAGGGAGTTTTTCCAACTGTATTTATATTGAATAAATTTTTATTCACACATAACTTACAGAGGTTTATAGGAACTCCTAGAGATGATTGCCTTAAATATATTTTGAAATGCTTTTAAATAGCTAATGTTTCAAATCATTTTAACGAATTTGAAAACAGCTTTTACATTGCTAAGGATGGAAAGAAGTTTTCATTACTTAACAGTGTAAGACTTTGATTTTTAATATTTAATAAAAGTATTAAATTCTAATTAATGAAATACCATTTTCAAAAAGAGTGGAATAAATTTTTATTTTCTGTAATATCCATGTGACTGATGTATCAAATTAATCTTCAGAAGAAGATGAAATGCTGATTCATTCTTTTGAGCTGAGAGTAAGTAAGGCTTAATATTCAAATGCCTTGATAAATTGTTGTTAAGTGCCGCAGAGTCATTTCTCACTCCCTGAAAAGAGTTTCTGAGACTTTAAATCTTTTGCAGGAGCTGTTGTAAACCTCATCTTTGTCCCCTGGAGCAGCTGGTGGGCTCGAACTGCTAACCTTATTATTTGCAGTCCACTGCTTATCCTAATTAGATGATCTGTAATTTTGTTCGCCACAATACTGGATAGATAAGGTGATTTTTTTTTTTTTGAGGAAAAAATTTTTTATTCCTTCTGCAATATATCTCTATATGATTTAAAATGCAGTAATTCTTTAAAAGGCTTAAATAGCAGCTTGTGGGAATCCTCTTAAAACCAGGTACACATACTGACTGCATATGAATCTAGATTTATGTATATTCGCACCTTGTGCCAGTGTTATCTGCATCTGATTTTAGCTTATATTTCCTCAAGGTTTAAAAATTAGCATATATGTCACATTCTCAATTAGTTTTTTTTGTGTGTATTCTGAATACATTTAAATCACTTGATTGATGTGAGAAATCCCCTCATTGCATATTCAAAGCATTCAAATGTTTAGAATCATTTTAATTTAGTTGCTGTTAAAACCCTTTTTATACTTACTGAAAAACCTTGAAAATGTGATAGAAGATTGTGTCATGTCAATCCCTTCATTGCCCCATGCTAGGTGCACAGAAACCCAATAAATCATTGTTAAAGAGTAGGCCGGAACTCTGTGTTATATATTGGAAGGGGAATGGAATATGACATTTGAAAGTTGTTTTTGTTTTTGTGTTTTTTCTTTTAATCCCAAACTCTGAAACAAAATGAAGGCAGGTGCCGTCAACAGCAATTTGCAGTCGTTTGTATCAGCAAAAACAAGTTTTGACGTTCATGAAGCCTCAGGACTCCATCCAGGTAAACAGATGAACACTGCTGAGAAGTCCAGCCTTTGAAATCTGTGAGGCTCAGAGGGCAAGTTAAGGAAGGGGAAAGTAGTCTGGAATCCAGAGGCTATTCCAGCAGGAATGAGAGGTGATGTGAACCCTCCTCCCCTGCCCCCTCTTCACTTGGATCACTTGATTGCCGAGAACCTGCCTCGACATAGGTGTTTGGTTCACGAGGTGGGGATATCCGGCGGCGGTAAAGATATAGAAAGACACACAAGGACACAAAGAGAGAGACACCCTGAAACCAGAGTGGATGCGGGACTGGCATCAGGCAGATCCTGCATTGCAAACATCTCAGCCATGAGGGCCGTAATATCCTGCATAGTAAACATCTTGGCTAAGCAGGCAGTATGGTTGCAATGTTGACTGAGCCCCCTGCGTGCTGTAAAGCACGCCTTGCCAGCCGTATTGCTCTTTTATTTGTTGTGTGCCTCCGTTTTATTTAGGGGAGGTACTTTACACAAAGCTGGGTGGGACTAAGACAAGGTACAGCTAACATACGTAATTTTCCAGACATTGAGGCAGCTTTACATCGTACTTCGCAGGTTCGAATCTCAAGCTTAATTAACATACCTTTTAGCACCTAGCCTCAAATGGGGGAAGGAAAAGGAGGATTGGGAGGATTCCCATTGTGTCGGCTGCCCAGCCCAGGTTCTTCAGGAAAAGAGAGGCCTGGGTGAATAGGGCTGCACCTGAAAACACTTTAGGGAGGGTGTCCTTTTGTCCTTAGAACAAAGAACCGGGGAGCCACCCATTTTACTTTGACTGAATTCTTTGAGGGAGGAACTTTGCCTTTTTGGAATTTTACAGTCTCGGCTTTTAGGAAAATATTACATTTATCTGTGGATATCAGGGCTTCATGTATGCAATTAATAATAAACATAACTGAATACTAAGATGAAAAACAGTTTGCTATGTCTGCTAGGTGGCTAGAGTCTGTTCCTCAGAGCCTGCGGCCTGTACGGTCTGCAACACTTGGGCCCACAGGGCCTTGAACTCCCGCCCAGGTCTGTATGGTCTGCAACACTTGATTACCCTTCACAGCTCAGTTTAAACCTCAGAAGCTTCCTGAACCTCCAAGCCTGGGCTAGATAACCCTCTTCCCACTTGGCATTGCACTTAGCAAAATCTCTCACCAAACCGAGGGGGACTCCAAGTCTCTTATTCACAATTTTATCCCTTGCATTTTGAACAACAGTGAAATGTAAGTGAGAGGAAAAAGAAATAGCCTTTTACTCCTAGAAATAAGTTATGAATATGTGTAAAGTAAATCTCAGGCTTAATTTTCTTGACCACCAGCTTTGTAGGGATTTTTGTTTGTTCCCCTGAGAAAATGTAGAATTCGAAAAAGCCGAAACTATAACTTGCTTATTATTAGACTTGAGATAAGAGAGGCCTTGAGATTACAGATTCCATTAGTTGCAAAAAACACTTTCTAGACTGCTGTAATACAAGAAGAACAACATTGTAAACTTCTAAATTTATTATCCAAGGTTTTGTTTAAAAATATTAATTTTATATTGTTAGAGAATACTCAGGGCATCACACACGGAGGTAGATTAGCAAAATCCCTGGCACTAAACAGTCCTTGTATTACATAGATGAACTCAGACCCTGAGAGTTTGCTTGTAGAGTCTGCTAGCTGTAGGACTAAAACTAACCTCTGAACAGCAAAGTGATGTAGAAATGGTAGAGGCTGGCCCTAAACACACTGGGTCTGACCCAGCAGGTTCCTTGTATTACCTACATGAATGACTAAATATGAAGCAAGCTACCGCAATGCAGTGAAACAT